ACCTCTATTGAGCACACTGCCTCAGAGTTTCAAAGTCCCCAAGAAACTGGCTTCTCCAGCCTCTCCCTTCTTAGGGCCCTCAACAACTCAGATGAGGGATACCCTAAGGTCTGACCTCACCCTCAGCAGAGATGGCTGTCAGGTAGGGATCTTATACTTCTCCCTCTGGGCACTCCTTCCCACAAAGATAATCCTTGCACACTAGTCCAGCTTTCATTGTGGAGTGAGCCCCAGGACAGCCAGGGCTACACAGAGAAATGCTGTCTCAAAAAAGGAAGTAGTCAAGCTGGAGGTGTACTCCAGCTCCAGTGCGTCTCCCCATGGTCACCTCAGACCCTGCTGACTGAGACCTTAATCCCTGGACCCCTCCAAATTTCCCTTTCTGGAATGGCAGGAGATTAAGGTGAGGGCTCCTGGTTGGGGTGCATCAGCACATTGGCTGGAACACTGGAAAGTAAGAGTTCAGTAGGGAGGTCTGTAGATCATTGTACCTGGAAGTTTATCCTGTTCATTTATGTATATGAGTGCTCTGTTGACTATACCAGAAGAGGGCATCAGATCCCTCTATCAGATCCTACCATGTGGTTGCCGAGAATTGAACTCAGGACCTCAGCCAGTGCTCTTAACCACTGAGCCATTTCTCCAGCAACCGCCACCATCCCCCTGTGCCTTTTTTTTTTAATTGTCTTTGAAAAACAAACAAACAAACAAAAAGACTATCTCAGACCTACCAAGTGCTGAAATTATAGGCATGTAACCACAGCAGGTTTATGCAGTACTGGGGCTTGAAGCCAGGGCTTCATAACTGCTAGGTCTGATTGATGGTTAATCTGGGCTGTGGACTAGTTCCTCCTGGGAACCCTGACTAATACATTAGACACGCACTCTACCAACAGCTCAAATTTACTTTGACCAAGGCCCAAGGGGTTGGGGGGAAAGTTGTGTTACTGTAGCAAACAACAGAGACAACCAGTTTACAAAAAAAGAAGGTAAGAATGTACACACATAGTCTTAGCTCATGCAAAGGAGGCTGAGGCAGGATTGTCATGAGTTCAATGCCAGCCTAAGCTACAAAGCAAGATACTTCTCACAAAGTTATTTTGGTTTGCAGTAATCTTTGGAGATTTTGCTCTGTGGTGCTGTTTGATGAGGGGCGCACCACACATGGCAGAGACTCATGGCATAGTAAAATCACTCACTAATGTGAACTGTAGGGGCAAGGAAGAGGCCAGGGTGCCACATCCCCCTCGGAGGCTGTCCTAGTTATGGTTACTATTGCTATAATGAAAGACCATGACCAAAAGCAAGTTGAAGAAAGGGTTTATTCAGCTTACACTTCCACATCACTGTTCATTGAAAGATGTCAGGATGACAGGTGGTGATGGTGCACGCCTTTAATCCTAGCACTCAGGAGGCAGAGGTAGGGGGATCTCTGTGAGTTCGAGACCAGCCTGGTCTGTAAGAGCTAGTTCCAGGACAGGCTCCAAAGCCACAGAGAAACCCTGTCTCAAAAACAAAACAACAACAACAAATCCCAGCACTCAGGAGGCAGTGGCAGGCAGATCTTTGTGAGGTTGAGGCCTGGTCTACAGAGTGAGTTCCAGGACAGCCAGGGCTACACGGAGGAACCCTGTCTCAAAAGACTTGAGGGGGAGCGGGAGCAGAAGAAGGAGGAGGAGGAGGGGAAGTAGTAGTAGTCAGGACAGGAACTCTTAACAGGGCAGAACCTGGAAGCTGATGCAGAGGCCATTGTGTGTGTGGGGGGGGGGAGGCTACTGGGAACTGCTTACTGGCTTGTGCCTCATGGCTTGGTCAACCTACTTTATTATAGAACCCAGGACCCAACCTGCCCAGGGATGGTACCACCCACAATGGGCTGGGCCCTCCCCCCATCAATCACTAAGAAAATACCCTGTGCTGGGCGTTGGTGGCACACACCTTTAATCCCAGCACTAAAGAGGCAGAGACAGGCAGATCTCTGTGAGTTTGAGGCCAGCCTGGTCTACAGTAGAGTGAGCTCCAGGACAGCCAAGGCTACCCAGAGAAACTCCATATCAATTCCTCCCCTTCCCCAAAAAAGGAAAGGAAAATGCCCTACAGCTGGACACACACACACACACACACACACACACACACACACACACACACACGATTCATGGCTGGGATGAAGAGGCAGAATCCAGTAAGAAACCTGCCAGGATTTATAGTTTTGACTCACTTTTACATAGTATCGAAGAAATGAATTCAAGCACCCAAGTGCATTCTGCAGGTAAGTAAAGCTTGGGTCTTTAGGATGTCTTCTGAGTTTAGTATTGAGTCTTGCTGGAGAGCCAGCCAACTCCATAATCCTGCCTTAGCCTCTAGAGTGGTGTTTCTCAACCTGTGGATCATAACCCCTTTGGGTAGAATGACCCTTTCACAGAGGTCACCTGAGACCATTGGAAAACACAGATACTTACATTAGGATTCATAACAGTACCAAAATTACAGTTATGAAGTAGTAATAAAAATAATTTTATGGTTGGGGTCACCACAACATGAGGAAATGTATTAAAAGGTCACAGCATTAGGAAAGTTGAGAACCACTGTTCTAAGAAAAATTATAGATGTGAGACCATACCCAACTACTTATTTAAAACTTAAAACCAAAGCTGGAGACGTAACTCAGTGGTATCAGGCTTATCTTACATATATGACGTCCTACATTTGATCCCCAGAACTGAAAAAACAAAACTATAAAAGATAAAACAGGCTGGTGAGATGACTCAGTGAGTAAAAGCACTTGCTACCAAGCCTGACAACCTGAGTTCAATACCCAGAACCCATAGTGGGAGTAGAGAATAGCTCCCAAGTTGGCCTCTAACCTCTCTACATGAATGCAACTGCGTACGCCTGTCCTAGACATACACAAAAAATAAGTGCAAAAATGAAAAAAAAAAATCCAGGCATGGTGGCACACGTGTCTAACTGCAGCATTCGGGAGGCTGAAGCAAAAGGACAGCTTGAGGAACAGTTCCAGAACTGCCAAGGTAAGATCCAAGAAACCAAACACACACACACACACACACACACACACACACACACACACACACACACACTCGGGAAAAGGGTCGAGCAGAGGGTGATGCTGGAGAGATGGGTCAGAGGTTAAAAGTACTTGCTGGTCTTCCAGAGGTCCTGAATTTGATCTCCAGTCACAAGAGCTCCAGGGGATTTGACACCCTCTTCTGGCCCCTGCAGGCACCTACATACATGTGGCACACACATTCATACACACATCTGAAATGTAAGACTTTCCAGAAGGCTAAGAATCACCCATAGAAACCCATGGCTACCAAGGTCACTGCTCCAAGTGTGCTTCTATCACAGAATATACTTCGTATATCAGAAGTGTAGATCAAGTGTCACTCACATTAGTTTCAGTTGTCAAAACTGAAACTAGAACAATAGCTGATTGGAGACTGAAGGTCCCTACGGAATTAAGGGGATGGGTTGTGTTAGCTCCTTCTGATCCTGCCCTGGGGCTGATCAGTGGTGTTACACATGTTCCCAGGATTACTAATCATTTCTTCTATGGAAAAGTCCACTGAGTGGCAAGATATATCACCAATAAAAGAAGGTTGCAAGGGGTGTTGGAGAGATGACTTAGTGTCTAAGAGCACTGACTGCCCTTCCAGAGGACCCAGGTTCAATTCCCAGCAACCACATGGTGGCTCACAGCTATCTGCAACTCCAGTTCCAGAGAACCTGACGCTCTCACCAGACATACATGCCGGCAAAACACCAATGCACATAAAATAAAAACCAAATTAAAAGGAAAACAACAATGCAGGCTTTTGGGTTGGAGAGATGGCTCAGATGATTAAGAGCACTGACTGTCCTTCCAGAGGACCCAGGTTCAATTCCCAGCACCCACATGGCAGCTCATAAATGTAACTCCAGTTTCAGGGACTCCAACACCTTCACAAAGACATACATGCAGGCAAGACATGAGTGAAATATGAAATATGAATAAATGAAATAAAAATAAAGTATTTAAAAAGGTTGCAGATATTTCAGAGAAGGCAAGCAGCTTTGTGTAGAAATGGGGGGAGGCTTCTTGGCATTGGGAAGATAAGGATGGGAATCCTAGTGGCACTTGCATGGTGCTTTGGGGACAGGCCACCCACCAACCACTCTAAACCTTTGCATGAAAAGGAAGAGAGGTAACACAGAAGAGTACTTGGCAAAATAGGGCGAAGCAGAGAGGTGGGTGATTGGGTGCTTAAGGGTCTGCAGAACCCGGATGGAAGGGAGCTGGGCAGACAAGGATTAGTCGGGGAGTTGTGGTTCTAGCTTCCCATAGATGCTGCCCATCAGTCAGCTTTGTCTCCGCTTGCTGCTGCTGCCTAACACTGGCTGCATGGACCTAGCAGAGAGAGAAGGTGAAGGCAAAATGAAGCTGCAGGAAGAGCTTCCTCAGAGCTCTCCTCTGCCCCAGGTCTTTTGTAGTTCTTACTCCAAAAGGGGCAGAGTGAAGGAGGTAGACAGCACCAGGGAAGCCATTCCCCAGCTTCCCCATCTCTCGGTCCATTTCTTTGTCAAGTTAGTCTAAAGTCTGTCACCTTTTTAGCCACTAAGCATCCACCCTGAACTGGACAGTGAGATGGGGTTGGAAACAAAAGTCCTCTGGCTTCCAGGGTCCCTGCCTCCTGACACCCTCAGCTCCTTTATCCACAGGCCCCTTTCTCCACACTGCCCTCTGAAACCTTCTCTTCTGCCTCATGACTGCTCCGTTCAGCCTTAATCAGGCTGTGCCTGTGCAGTGAGTATGCTCCCAGAGGGAAGTGACACAAAGAAAAAGGAGGGGGACAGAAGGAGGGAATCCCGCTTACATCACTGCTCATTAGCATATGTGACCTCATCAGGAGGCGGGACAATTTCCCCAGGTGTCTGAGGGGGGGCAGAGAACAGGGTGGGGGGGGCAGTATTTAAAGGGAAAAGCTGACAGTGCTGCTGAGTGAGGAACCGGTGCTGTGAGCCGCTGGGCTGCACTCGCACATGCACGCCGGTGCACACGGACCTTGACACCAACATGGACACGGACACAGAAACCACAGCACTTTGTTCTTCCAGCAGCCGCCAGGCCTCCCCACCGGGGACACCCACACCAGGTGAGCGCTAAACGGAGTAGGATGCGGGCTGAAGCCATGGGTGGGGAGCTAAAGCTTTGTGGGAAGGTCAGTGCCAGGGTTCATTGAGAAGGGGGGGAAAATGCAGCCAAGGAGACCCCTGCACTTTTGAGGTCTGGACAGCCAAGGGGGAGGGGGAAAGCTGCCCAGGTGCCCCTCCCCCAACACGCCCAGGGCTTTGCTAGAGAAACTGGTACTTGGCCCCTAGGTTAACCTCATCCCTGATAAGCAGAGCCGGCCAGGAGGGAAGGGGGAAAGAAAGGGGCAGCCCGCAAACCTAGGAATCACCAGCTGAGGGGGCTTCCCTGGGGACCTGTTGTAAGGGTTTCTTCTGGCTCCATCTTTGGCTGCCAGCCAAATATTGATCCTGTGCTATTTATAGCCTGGCTCCATCCCCCTTTGTTGTGTCTGTTGTTGTTCCTCTAGTTACCCCAACCCTGGAATTGTCATCTTCCTCACACACACACTCTCCACCTCTACCTCCCCACAAACACAATATCCTCTCCCACTCACTGGGACAGGCAAAAATCCAGGAGTCGTCTCTCTCACACACAAACATGCGCGGGTGTTGCTCACTACCTGCGGGGACACAGGAAACAGCACACTCCCCTTCTCCAGCCCCCAGACCTGGGAACAAGGCCCCTGGAAAGTTTCTGATTCTGCCAACACCTGCCAACAGCTCTGTTTGAGGACCGAGGTGCAGGAAGCAATAGGAGGGAGGGCCCGTTAGCGGACAGATGAATTGCTTCCCAGTTCCACCTGGTTCAGGGGCCTAGTCTAGGGGTGTGCCTGTGTCAGTGTACGCTGTGAATGGTGTGTGACCCTGTGCACAAGTGCCTGTCCTACACAGCACATATTTTGAACAGGTCGTGGCCAGGATCCTACAAGGGGGAAACCATCATGCTAGCTCCTTGAGGGTTCATCATTTTGGGTTTCTGGGTAATTTTAGTACAAGAGGCTGGACTAATGACTCTCAGTTCTTTTGGGATCATGGTCTTTATCTGCTCTGAAGAAGCAACCTAAACTGACCCCTTGGCAGATACCTAGCTATCACACTATAGCTTCCTTTTCTCTCCCTCTCTAGAAGCAGATACCACGCTTCTGAAACAGAAGCCAGAGAAACTGTTGGCAGAGTTGGACCGGAGTGGGCCACCTCCTGTCCCTGGGGCCCCCAGACGAAGAGGAAGCATGCCTGTACCCTACAAACACCAGCTGCGGCGGGGCCAAGCTGTCGATGAACTTGACTGGCCACCTCAGGCCTCATCCTCTGGCTCCTCTGAGTCCTTGGGCTCAGGGGACGCAGGCTCCACCCAAAAGGATGGCGTCTTTAAGGTCATGCTCCTGGGGGAGAGTGGCGTGGGCAAGAGCACGCTAGCAGGCACTTTTGGAGGTCTCCAGGGAGACAGTGCTCATGAGATGGAGAACTCAGGTATTTGGGGGTGCCCTGTAGAGCTGGAAGTGTTTCTGGTGTGAATAGACATTCGAAGACAGGACCTAAAAGAAATTTCCCCAGTGATTTCTGTGGTAGTCTCCCCAGGGAGGGGTTCCCTGCTGTTGGGAGCTAAGGTGTTCCTGGTTACCAGGTCTCACAAGTGTTGGGGAATCTCCTCATAGGTTTTATTCTCTTTCCCAACAGAGGACACTTATGAGAGACGAATCATGGTGGACAAAGAAGAAGTGACTTTAATTGTTTATGACATTTGGGAACAGGTGAGGACTAAGATGTGGCCCTCGGTGAGCAGGGGAAGGGCAGTCTGGCTGGGGCTGCTGACATTGCCCCCATCCTGGCTCCAGCATGAGCTGGAACATGACTTGGCACTGTCGTATCTCCAGGAGCAAAGGCCCACCTTGGTATGCCTATCATGGCTCATGGCCGTGATAGCCACAGTTTTTTGGGACCTTTGAGCTCAGACAAAAGTTAGAATGTGAATTTGACAAACTCTTCAGCATGGAGTCAGGGTAGAAACACAGAAACTGACCCATTTGTAAATTCTTCAGCCTGGAAGTCTGATGTAAAGGAGAATGTGGGGGCTTCTGAATACTTGATCATGTTACTGTGTAGGAAGAACAGGCTAAGTTCTGTTACTTTTAAGTTTTCTAGCTCTTTATTTGGGGGAACAGGGTCTCACAGTGTAGCCCACACTAGACTGGATCGAACAACTCTCTTCTTGCCTCAGCCTGCTGTGTGGGGGATAACAGGTTTACAACATGCTGGGAACCGAACTCGAGACTTTGTGCACACTAGGCAAGCACTTTACCAGTTGTGCCATATCGCAAGCCTCCACATATTCCTTAATAACAATCTTTTCTAAATCAAGAGCTTAAGCCTAAGAAAGTAGACCGTTAGCCTACTATGAGATCCTATTTCCCTAGTTCTCCCACGTGGGACTCACATCACTAACTTCTCCATCCTCCACAAGGCCCCTGGGTATCAAAATTCTGCCATTAACTAGCCCTGCGTTCTAAGCAAGTGGCCTGTCTCACATTCGGATCCCTCTTCGCTGAGACGCAGGTTCCAGTCTCTATGCCTAGCATCTTATGCTCTAGCATCTTATGGCTCTCTGCTCCTCTGCAGGGGGATGCAGGAGGATGGCTGCAGGACCACTGCCTTCAGACGGGGGATGCCTTTCTCATCGTCTTCTCAGTCACGGATCGACGAAGCTTCTCCAAAGTTCCTGAAACCCTTCTTCGGCTCCGGGCTGGAAGGCCCCACCACGACCTACCTGTCATCCTTGTTGGAAACAAGAGTGACCTAGCCCGCTCCCGGGAGGTATCACTGGAGGGTGTGTATCCTGAACCCATTGTGTACTTGAAATCTCAAGAGATGACTTTCCAGGCCCTTCCTCCCCGGGAGGCCTTTTACTCCTCCCTGGTGTACGATCGCATGCATTTAGTCCCTGGGTTAGGGAACAGCCCCACTACCCAGCCGCTGGGGTCCTTCACTAGCCCTCATTGCTCCTGCTAGGTGTCCTCCCTTTTCGCACCTCTGTCGTAGGGAGTTGGGATT